TTACCACTATTTATAATCTAGTAGGATATTTAAATCTGCACTGTTTAGTATATGGTATTAGTAATGCATCCAACCAATTAAATAAAACTATTCTTATACATGTTGACTCTTATATTAAATCATCAAAACGTTTCGTTACTTATACGTGCTAGATAAATTTCCAAATGAATATTCATGTATTGTTATAATTATTGTTATTCAGGCAAGTTTTATCCCTTAAATAACGAGTATTAGACATAAGCTGGTGTGGGTGTGGGTGTGCATGAGTGTGAGAGGAAACGAATCACAACATTTTATATATTTAAGCATTGTACATATCTACCGGAATTAGAAGAAGACTGATATAGGCAAAGTCTGTTGTCTTATTCTTTTGTCAATACTGTTCAAATATCTCCTTTAATGTTAACTTATATGTTTGTATTATATATGTGTTGTCAATAAAATACTTTGAAATTGACAAAAAAAACCCTATTTGTCCACTATTAGACCCTAGTGGAAGGGGATGTGTAGACGTGGGTTCAATGCGTGTCGTTGTCACTTTTATTTTTTATTTCATTCCTTCATACTATAATCGGAATGTTCGTTTTGTAACGAGGCTTTTGATTGACTATTCTAAAACAAGTGTTATGATTGATTGTTTTTGATAACAAGACTTATGATCGATTGGTTCATTTTTAGTCACAAAACTCGAAGGGGAGCAATACACTCTATAAATACCTGAAGTCTGCAGTCAATAATATTTCTATGGCGTTGTCAAACTCTCCATACACTAGCCGTTCGAGAGAGATAAAATGTCGTCAAAACAGCAAAAAGATTATCTGACAAAGATATGGTACGATCCTAAACACGTTGCCGGTTTTTCGGGCCCTTCGAGTGTGTACGCGTTCGTCCGAAATGAAGGAAAATTCAAGATCAGTCTTCAAAAGATAACCGACTGGTTGCAGAATCAAGACCCCTACAGTGTCGGAAGACAGGTTTGACACAAGACGCCGTCAGCCGAAACACCTTTAGTTGGTGTGGACTACATGTGGGACGCAGATTTGGCAGACGTATCTGACATTAAAGAACACAACGAAGGCACGTGGTTCTTGCTCGTTGTCATAGATCATTTTTCGCGGTACGCTTGGGTTCTACCCCTGAATAACAAGAAGGCCAGTACGGTGTTAGAAGCTTTTAAAACTATTTTCGGCGAACGAAAACCAAACATCATAAGAATGGATCACGGAAAAGAGTTTGCGAATAAGTTATTTCAACAGTATTGTAAATCTGTAGGCGTTACGCACGTCTTAAGTCACAGCGCTCATAAAGCTGCATTCGCCGAATCGTTTATAGGGAAGTTTANTCTTGCTCGTTGTCATAGATCATTTTTCGCGGTACGCTTGGGTTCTACCCCTGAAAAACAAGAAGGCCAGTACGGTGTTAGAAGCTTTTAAAACTATTTTCGGCGAACGAAAACCAAACATCATAAGAACGGATCACGGAAAAGAGTTTGCGAATAAGTTATTTCAACAGTATTGTAAATATGTAGGCATTACGCACGTCTTAAGTCACAGCGCTCATAAAGCTGCATTTGCCGAATCGTTTATAGGGAAGTTTAAAAATATTTTGTACAGATACTTTCATTCCAATCAGACGTTTAATTTTACCGACGTGTTGGCCGATATCGTTCGTAGTTATAACGGTAGGGTTCATTCGGCACTGTACGGATTATTGCCCAAAGAAGTAACGAAAGACAATCCTTACGAGGTCCTACGTAGAAAAAGCCAGCACGTAAACGGTATGAAAGGACCTCGCACGAAGCGGAAATATAAATTTAAAAAGGGCGATCAAGCGAGATTGAGTTATAAAACACGTCAGTTTCGACGAGGATGGCAGCAGAAATGGACGGAAGAAATATTTGTCGTGTCTCACAGATATTATCGAGGAGACATTCCCGTTTATAAAGTCGAAGATTTCGACGGCGAAGCGATACAGGGATCGTTTCACGAATACGAACTACAGAGAGTACAGCGAGACAGAGACACCAAGTGGAAAATCGAACAGATAATGAAAAAGAAGAAGGTAAAAGGGCAAACCCAAGTCCTCGTGAGATGGTTGGGATGGCCTAAGAAATTCGATTCTTGGATTGCCGAGAGGGACATGACATCGTATATATTGAAGTCGTTAGTCTGAAGCGAAAAAAAATCATTCCGTCGTCATGCCTCACGCGTGTCTGTCATGTTCCAAATCGTACGCGTTGCAAAATTCTCTGCGGAAACACGTGGAGAGAAAACACTCTTCTCTACGTAATCCTAGACTCGAAGCAAGGCGTTCGCCCGCGCAATTTAGCGGAAATACCTCAGTCGCTTCGTACGACTATAATCTACCGTACGAATTGACGTCTACACCAGTACATTTCTTCCCGCCCGCATGCGAGGCCCATTTCTTTCCCTGGAAACATCCGTTCACGTGCATCATCGCGGGTCCTACCGAAAGTGGAAAAACGGAGTTCGTGAAACGCTTCCTGGCAAACGTCGATCGCACGGACAACGTCGTCTGGTGTTACGGAGAATACCAGACGTCGTACGGGTTCGTAGACGGCGTCAAGTTCGAACAGGGTCTACCGGACTTGAAGAGTTTCGATCCGACTCTCAAGCACCTAGTCGTCATCGACGATCTGATGATGGAAGCCGACGATTCCGTAGCTTCGCTGTTTACCAAGAAAAGTCATCACGGCAACATAAGCGTCATGTACGTGGTACAGAATCTATTTCACCAGACGAAGTATCACAGAAACATCAGTCTCAACGCCCATTACATCGTGCTGATGAAAACCCCAGAGATTCGTCGCAGATAAGACGTCTGTCTCAGCAAATGTTTCCGGGAGGAGGTACGCTATTACACGAAGCATATTCAGCAGCAACGTCTAAACCTCACAGCTATTTACTCGTCGACTTGAAACAAGACACGCCGGAAGAAGTTCGATAAGGTTCGTCCGTTTTCCCGGGAGAATATCAAAAGGTGTATTCCGTTTAAACGTTTGAAAAAGAACCGAAAAAGGTATAAATATACTAGTTTCGGTCAGTTCTCAGAAATCATCGGAATATTTGTCATGTTAGGATGACGTACGGCACGTCAAACATAGAAGAACACGCTAGAGAATTGGAGTTTTTATGCCGCGCTAAACCTAGCGTCAGAAGAGCGGTCGTAGAAAAAGCGGACAGAAAATTAATCAATTGTATCTGTGAGTGCTCAAAAAACATCCTGCTAGGAAACGTACACTATACGGGGAAACAACGTTCGGCTCTCAAACGACAGAAATCGGAACTCAGAACGATCTTAAGCAAAAGATTAGCTATAAGTAAAAAGAAGAAAATCATTCAAAAGGGTGGATTTCTCACGGCTCTTATAGCCCCGTTGGCGGCTACGTTCTTACCGGGACTCATTTCTAAAGTGGCTTCAATATTTCAATGAGAATCCGTCACGTGGTCATGTCTGGACGCGACGTACGCTCTAGACCCAAACCGCCCGTCTCGACGTCCGTGATGTCGCTGAGCGCCTTGGACGGAGAAATGAATAGGACGTTAGACAGGCTGGACATGGCGGACAGCCAGAAAGCGACGTTATACGATCAGCAACTTAGGAAATACATCGATCGCTATAGAGAATTCTTAGGTAGGGACGGTACTACGAATGCACCGACGCCTACCGAGGCCCCCAAGACTCGGGTAGAATCCGCAAACGAAGGCGACCACATAGAAAATGCCATTTTAGAAAGCATTCCGCGCGGAGCTCATTCTAAAACTAAACTGTTGTTGGGAAGATTGAAAGACGTCATTCAATGGAACGACCGCGGCGAATTCGGATACAAAGGAAGCTCCGTGATTCCAGGATTGAATCTGGTGGATTTAGTCGGTAATGCCGCACGACCGTCCTCACTCAAACACGTGACTCCCAAGGGTCTCGACGAATTCCTGGGTGCACTCAAACGCTCGAATGCACCCCAAAGTTGGATGAGTAATAAGACGTACACCTCAAGAATGCAAAGGCTGTCGCCCGCCACGCCGACCGGGAGACGCGTTAGAACTCCCGAGCGCACTCCCGAGTTACGCAACATACCCGAATCGTGGAGCGAAGACGAAGACGACAGCGGTTTTATCTCCTCGTTCCACACTCCGTCTACAGTGCGAAAACAACAAAGCTGGTCGCCTTATTAGTCAAGCGAGTCACCAAAACATCTATAAATGGGAACTCGCTTTCGTGGTTACTTACAAGAAATGTCGAAATCAGGCAGCGACGCAGGTGGTCCGTGTTTGGCAAGAGAATACCAAAAGGAGAGATATTGTTTTTCGTTCAAGTCTTCGTAGTGTTCACGGTAGTCGTAAGTTGTATAATCAACTTATCGTTTTCAAACGGACACACGGAGGTGTGGATCACTCTACTGAGCAGCAGTCTAGGTTACGTACTTCCAAATCCGTCCGTCAAACGCAGTCATAGAGATGTTTTAGCTGACGTTACCAAGTAACAGTAGCATGGATTACTATCCGGGAAATACTTAAACCACTTATACAACGCGGTTGTCACAACCCTTAAATCTGAAAGGAAATTGGGAGGTGGGATTAGCCGAGATACACTATCCACATCTTTGGTATAACGTGAAAAGTGGCGAAGCTCAGCTGAAGTTATCACTGGGAGCAGGTAACGAGGCAAGTACCGGATTGACGATAGACATACCAGAAGGATATTAATCATCGACGAAAAGAGTGCTGAAGTACGTGGATAAAGCTAAGAGAATGATTTCTCACGGCGATCGGTTTAGCTTTCACGTCCACGAACACGATCACAAAGTTAGGCTTCACATTACCAAAGGCATGCACGTATACCTCACTCGGGCTTTAAGCGAAATGCTCGGTTTTAGAAAACAAGAATTCGCGGACGGAACGCACACGGCGGAATTCAGTAGTGACGTTCGAAGAGGATTTTATTCTCTGTGCGCTTATTGTCCTCTCGTCGAATCGAGAATGGTCGGAGATACGAGCGCTCCACTACTACGCATCGTTCCGATAGAAGGCAAACCTGGCGACACGATGTGTAAAGTATTCAATCCCGTACACTACGTACCTTTACAACAGCGTCAATTTCAAGAAGTGGAACTCACGCTGAGAGACGACACGGGCGCACCCGTACAGTTCGAGACCGGCAAAGTAGTGATGACGTTACATTTCAAAAGAAGACCCCTAGACTTTCCCTAAAAATGCTATATATATACGATTCGAAACGACAGTAATCAACAATTCGAAAACTTTCAAGATGAGGCACCCTCCACACAGAAGCGATCCCTATGTGTTCGATCGGTATTATCTCGATCAAGCCGGAAGCGGAAACAACGTTTTCGTCGGAAGTCGAACGCAGAGAGGTCACGGTCTTGGTTCGATATTCAGCGGTTTGTTTAAGGCTGCAGCCCCGTTGTTAAAAAGAGGAGCGAAGGCATTAGGAACACAGGCTTTGAAAACAGGTATGGAAATAGCAGGCGACGTCATAGACGGCAAGAATATCAAAACTGCAGCGTTGTCTAGGGCTCGCAACGCCGAAGTGAATTGAGAAACCGCGCGTTAGACAACGTTAGAGAAGGTCCGCCGGGACGACGTCGAAAATCGAAACGTAACAAAAAGAGAAGAGTAGACTATTTGGATGATTAGGGGCAGAAAAGTGTATAAATATAAACGAAATGTACTGATTTTCCGTTCGACCGCTATGAAACTTCGCAATACATAAGTCATGTCGTTAGTTCATCCGAATTCGTGCGAGTGCGCGAAATCCGAATTGGAATCTTTTTGACGTACCTCCCACCAGACGAGTGTCGAAGACGGCTACTGGCAACAGATCGGTACGGTGACGTACACGTTTAAGATATCTGGATCCGGAGAAGATTACCTAGACTTGAGGAACACAAACCTATTCGTGAAAGTAAAGTTGGTAAAGAAAGACGACGGTGCCGCCCTAGCGGCTTATTCGAACGTAGCTCCGACGAATATATTCTTACATTCGCTGTTCAATAACGTGAGCGTCAGTCTAAACGAAAGGCTCGTGTCTCCGCCCGACAATGCCTATCCGTACAGAGCGTACATCGAAACCCTGTTAAGTTACGGGCCCGCAGCTAAAGACTCTCAACTGACAGGCTCCATGTGGTACAAAGACACCGCAGGTCAAATGGACACTCAGGGCGACGAAAACTTCGCGAGGAAAGCGATGACGGCAAGAAGTCGCACCGTCGATTTGATGGGGAAAATCCATGCGGACGTGTTTGCACAGGAACGCTACTTAGTCAACAACGTCGACGTGGAAATAAACATGTCACGAAGTAAGGACGTGTTCTGTCTCAGTGCAGAGGGCGACACGTTTAAAGCAGTAGTGCAAGATATCTGTCTGTACGCAAGGAAAGTGCGTTTGAATCCGTCCGTTCGCCTTGCTCACGCGAGAGCCATGGAAAAAACTCCCGCCAAGTATCCGATACGGAGAATAGAAATGAAAGTGACGTCCGTGCCTCGAGGTAACATGGACTTTACCAAGGACAACCTGTTCATAGGACAGATGCCCAAGAGGATCGTCCTGGGCATGGTCGACACGGACGCTTTTAACGGTACCGCCACCAAAAATCCTTTCAATTTCAAACACCACAAGGTCGATTACGTGTGTCTTAATGTGGACGGGAAACAAATTCCAGCCAAGCCATTACAACCGGACTTCACGAACGGTCAGTACGTGCGCAGCTACATGAATCTCTATACGAGCACGGGTAAAATTTACCACGACGAGGGAAACAACGTGTCTCGAGAGGAATTCGGGAAAGGATACACCCTGTTCGGATTCGACCTCACGCCCGATCTGTCGGAGATGGGCACATTTCATCTCATAAAAAGCGGAAACATGAGTCTACACCTTCATTTCAACGAGATTTTAACAGCGACGATCAACGTCATAGTGTATGCAGAGTTTGACAACATCATAGAAATCGACCGTAACAGACAGATTTTATTCGATTACAGCGCATGATGAATACCATTCAAATAGATTCCATCTTGAACAAAAACTGTCCTCATTTCAAAGGCGTGTACGCCAGAAACAGATTACCGAGACGATTAAACGTGCCGTGTGCACTCGTGTGTAACACAGATCCCGATACACTTGAGGGTGAACACTGGATTGCGGTGCACATAGACGGTGAAGGCCACGGAGAATATTACGATCCCTTCGGATTTCCGCCGACGAACAAAGTATTCACTAATTTCATGGACAGACAGTGTCGAAGTTGGACGTACAACGACGTTAGAGTACAACACTTCCACTCGTTAGTGTGCGGGCCACATTGCATTTTCTACATAGTTCAGAGATGTTAAGGAAAAACGATGTCCGACATAACGTCCTTATTAAAAAATGATTTTCATGCCAATACGTATTTCGTAGACGACTTCGTAAGAACGCTCGTTTCGTGATGTCTTCGTTTGCCAACAAATCCATGGGATGGCTGGGGGTTGCTTATTAAAATGATAATTAATCAATGCATCAAATAAAAAGAAGAAAAAAACAAAAACAAAAGAAAACAAAAAACAAAATGAAAAATTAAAAAACCAAACAATTAAAAAAAATTAAAGCGGGCAACAATGAGTCAGTTGGTCACTGATGATACCCCCGACTATGATCGGATAATACGGGGAAAAAAAACCGGGGGACCCGTAGCCACATCTTGATTGCTTTGTTGAATGCCTTAGCTCGATTAGCAAAATACTGTCAAACTTTGAGACTTATGACGAACGAGGACAAATAGGGACAAATAGTGACAACTAGGAGACAACTAGGGACAACTAGGGTCTAATAGGGGACAAATAGTGGACAAATAGTGGACAAATAGGGGACAAATAGGGACAACTATGTGACAACTAGGGACAACTAAGGACAACTAGTGACAAATAGGGGACAACTTGGGGACAAATAGGGACAACTAGGGACAAATAGGGGACAAATAGGGGACAAATAGGGACAACTAGTGACAAATAGTGGACAAATAGTGGACAACTAGTGACAAATAGGGGACAAATAGGGACAAATAGAGGACAAATAGGGGACAACTAGAGGACAAATAGGGGACAACTAGGGACAAATAGGGACAAATAGTGGACAAGTGTGTACAAATAGGGGACAAATTGGGGACAAATAGGGGACAAGTGTGTACAAATAGTGAACAACATACAATACAGAATCAGCAGTATCTGCATATTTTTACATCAAAAAAGATTATTTCGTACTTGTTTTAATTTAGTCTCGAAATACGTTCTTTTACATTGATCGATTTATCTATCTATTATTAATATAACCTTAGTTTCAAACTTCTTAGCCCTGCAGGTAGGGCGTAAGAATTACACCTGCTGCCCCCAATTGCATGATCGTAAGAGGCGACTAAATTTGGGACCTTATCTCTTCTCTCCTTTCTAAATAACTTTCTTTTTCCTAATGTCTCCCTTGACAATGCCTCACTTTTGGCCATTTGTTGAGCGTTCGCCCCTGTGAGGAAGGCTTTGGGTTCTGTCCCCTGGCCGAGACATACCAAAGTCTTTAAAAATGGTAGTTTCTACTCCTGCTTAACGCTCAGCAAATTAGGAGTGGGACGACTGGTTCGCCCGTTGTCAGTATAATGTGACCGGGTGGGGCGTCCTGCTGGGTGTCTTCGGCAGTATGTTTCAGTGAGGTAGCACTATAAAGTCGGCATCAGTTCCGCGCTATTACAAGAAGACAAACACGAACATATCGCAGCCTCCCAAAATACACACACATACACTACACGCATGCATCTTGCACACAGGGGAGGCCGTCCTTAAATGACCTAAGCTGTTAATAGGACGTTAGACAAAATCAAACAAACAAACAAACAAATCAAACTTCTTAGAAAAAATCAAGAAGGATTCTATACAAAAAATAAAATAAAATATAAAATAAAAAATAAAATAAAAATGACAACGGCGCGCATCGAACCCGCGACCACGCGTCCTCAATCAGAATTCGACCAATCAGATTTAAGGAAGTAAAAGTATCAGCCACATTGAAACCCAAAACATCTAGAAGAAAAAAAAACGCATATCGACGTGCACTTTCTGCTACAGCACCGACACACTTACTTCCTACACGAAAAGAAAGTTCATCTCGATTTAATACCACACTCGAAAACACCGTAAATATGCCGTGTATTTTATTTATATTGTAAATAACGCATTATTGTGAGAAACAGAGCCCCTCATTTTCACGGTGACATAATTGCAAACAATCTACAGAACCGGAAAAACCAGAAGAACAGAGAGAGAGTGAGTGTATTATTATTTATTGAGTTTATGTACAATGAAATGTATTATTTCTCTTTCTTTTTTGCTTCTATTTCTCACAGGGTCCAGAGTTCGTGTGTAGTCATACTGCTGAGCATACCTATAAAAACAAAAGGAAAGTATTTAATACAGATACAAGGGGCGATAATCCTGTCAGTACCTCAAAGTTAGTGCCATCACAATCAAAACACACATGATGAAAAGATGTAGATATGAGGTCGTAGGTTTATAGCGTTGCTAAGGAAATCCGCCATCTTGGATCCGCCATCTTGTGCGTTGCTAAGGGAAAATCCGCCATCTTGGATTCACAATGGTTGCTGGCAACCATATTGAAATTTTTTGAATCCAAGATGGCGGATTTTTCCTTAGCAACGCACAAGATGGCGGATCCAAGATGGCGGATGTCCTTAGCAACGCTACCTCATATCCACGTCTATTCATCAAATCCTCGTGTTTTATTACTTGTTTATTTAGATAAAAACTAATATACATTCTGGGTGAAAAAAATATATCACATAAATTATGATACTAGCAGGCATGAAACTTCGTTCAGAGATTATCATACTGTGACGTCACAAGCATGTCAAACTCCATCGGCCTTGATCGGTTATTTCCGAAAGGATGAAAAATAACTGGAAAATCTTCGAACTGATGTCCGTTTATTTCATGAGAGAACATTCCTGAACTAAGATTTTCTGTCGGGAAGCATAAAGGTAAAATGTCCTTTTGAAACAACCGGATATCGCTACTTAAAAATGTGGATATTTTCTGAAGATCCTTCATCAACGAGGTTCTGTTAATATTTCTACCGGGAGATATCTTCAAAAAGAGCCGCATTAAACCGATAGGTCAACGTGTACATTTATTTTTCATCGTCTAAAATTGCATCAGCTTTTGATTACCATTTGTTGAGAATATGAACGAAATCATTAACATTTTTGAAGTCTGGCTCTAGTCTTTACATAAGTTATGTAAGCATCACCACTCATAAAAGAGAAAAATAGATAATTAATTTATGTCGAAATCAACAATAATTGTCCAGACAACCAACCCGAGTTTAACGCCCTTTTTTAGCAACGTATTACTTTTTTCACAACGCGTGCCGATTTATAACTAGTTACAGACAGAAACTGTTTAATTTTACTTGGCATCATTACCTGTCAAACCTCGGTGACAGTTGCAAAATTCAAACCAGTGTTTCAAGATGGAACAGGAATTGATACTAAATATCGATATAACGACAATCTCAGTTACATCAAAATATTACAATGCTTTTTTTATTTACTTTTTATTTTCTAACTAACATCTCTATACAGTTACTTACACTTATAGTCAAATATTTAATATGCACTTCTTTCTATAGCAATTACCAAACACTTTTTTCCCCAGCTTATCTCAATCATTCTTTTTGTGCCCTGACGGAAGCATGCAGCGGATTTAATTCTTAATGTAGGAGGGAGATGGAGTATCCGGAGAAAATCCGCGTGGTCGGGCAGGTGACCGGGATTGAATCCCGCCATCTTGGTGAAGACGAGCGCGCTATCCACTGCGCCAACCGACCCATAATATACGTTACGCACAAGAACAAATATCAACTTTAGCTTTGGATGGAAAAAATGGCGTCATTGATGCAAAAATTATATTATGAATACATTTTTACCAATCATCAACGATACAAAAAATCTACATACGGGAGACAGAGGCAAGTTCGGCCACCCCTAATATTTTTGTTTTTGAGCTAATATTCACATTTTAAGGATCTTAGCAGTTTAGTTGGCTGAGCATTCACAAGAAAAATTGGCAAGGAAAACGTTAATGTAAAATTACTAAACAGGAGAAAATTACTTTTGAGAGAGTAGTATCCAAATAAAATCATGATCTCGCTTCTAGTTATGCGAACTTTCTGTAAACGGAATTGCTATTTTTTTAGGGTCACACGTGTAACACACTGACAGCTTCAAATGATATGCATTAAAGCCAAGGCAAGCACTCACTACCATATTGCTGTACGATAAGAATTGATTGAAATATCATTTTGGGCCCGGACAGGTTCGGCAAATGAAACCATAAAAAGTTCGGCCCATGTAACACATAAAAAGTCGTAAAATTGGCGGTAAAATCTGACGTTGCATACTTTATGACGTCATAATTAAGCTGTTTCCAATGGGGCCGAACTTACCCGAATGCCTGTCCAAACTTATCCCGTGGCAGGGCTCGTTCGGCCATCCGATCTTCCGACAGTGAAAATGAAATAATGATTTATACAATTATCCCCCACGACTCTCATTTTATGATTTATACAATTATCCCCCACGTCCCCCATGTTATGATTTATACAGTTATCTCCCACGACCCCCATGTAAGGATTTATACAGTTATCCTCCACGACCCCCATGTTATGATTTATACAGTTATCCTCCACGTCCCCCATGTTATGATTTATACAGTTATCCTCCNCCCCCATGTTATGATTTATACAGTTATCTCCCACGACCCCCATGTTATGATTTATACAGTTATCCTCCACGTCCCCCATGTAAGGATTTATAAAGTTATCCTCCACGTCCCCCATATAAGGATTTATACAGTTATCCTCCACGT